GCCGCTTTCGAGGACTGTTGAGGGGTCCAGCGGAATGGTCTTACGCGGAATCACCGAGCCGAAGACGTCATCTCCGTTCAACTTCCGCAAGCAGGAGGTCACGCGCACCGGCCTGGTCATTTCTGCTGCCAGGGCCCTGATGTCCACGGCCTGCCAGGGCGCCGAACCATGCACCACGGAGTCATGGCGCCGCCCGGTGCAAGGACGCGGACGACCTGGACGGCCGGTGAGTGCATCTCTACGTGATGCTCTCCAGGGCGACGACGGTGGACAACTTGCTCATGATACGCGACCCTGACATTGATTGCCTTTCCCGCGGGCCGCGCGCAGACCTGGCGGCGCGCCTGCGTGCGTGTCGCCCCTGCATTGGAAAGGGCGGGAAGGAAACGGAGCAGCTTGCGGGCGAGGTTGGCCTCACTCGTTTTTTCCTTCCGTTGTGAAAAACCTGATCCGCTGGAACGCTAGAGCGACATGGCGCCGGAAACACTGCCTGTCCAGCGTGCCAGTGAAACAAAAACGATACTTTCGTCCCGCATCTTGCGTCGTCGTCTTCTTCCTCCCGTGCCCACCGTCTCCCTGCTGGTGCCGCGTTGGGTTTTCGCCCCCCGCCTCCCTCCGTCCTTTTCCTGCCCCTCTTCCCCGGTTTTGTTGCTCTTCGTTCCTGCGGCCTCCGTTTTCGCTTTTCTGTTGCCCCATGCGAGTCGTGCAACGCGCCCGAATCCGCGCTTCTTGTGCGACTTGCACGACAACTCTCGATTCCCGCGCTGTCGCCCCCCATGCAAGATTTGGTCAAATCCTCTCATCAGTTCGTGCAAATGCGTTGGGAACGTCGCAAGGTCATTTCCCAAGGGGAGGGGGGACATGGGATTTTGATTCTATTGACCGTCGGACGGCCTGGGTTGCGAGACCAGCGGTTGGGATACCGAGGGCAGATGAATGCGAACGCATGTCCATGGCGGGAGCTTGGCGGATGCTGGCGGAATTGATTAGTGTTCCCGATGCGGTTGTGTTTCACGGTTTTCTCTTCAGCCATGTGCGTGACTTCGCTCGAGCTCGAAACCTGGGAAGAGAGCCCAACGTGGTCACCCCAGTCAAGGAACCTCAGCGCATTGCACGCGCTGCCTTCGAAATTCGGCAGCTAAATGAGTTTTGCAGAGATATGGGGCTTCCCCGTCCAGCATCCCCGAAACATATGGGCTGTGGGGGACCGAACTCGAGATGACCCCTTTCTTCCTCCTCGTCCCCCCTTTCCCCATCTCTCCTTGGTGCCCGTGCTGCTGCCTCTTCATTTTCCCGTTCCACCTCCCCTCCTCCACTTTCCCATCCTTCATGACGTCCTCGTTTTCGTTGATCTTACCTGCGTTGTCGGCTTCAGGCGCCGCCCAATGCGGGGTAGGGAAGGGCGCCGCGGACCCCCCCCCTCCTGGGTGCGCGTTCGTCTTCGTTGTCCTTTTCGTTCCACGCTTCCCTTCTGGGTGGATCATTGGTCGGCTGTTGTCACGCGAGCGGGCCTTGCGAAACTTCGGTTGGGGGCGACAGCATGTCGCCCGAGGCTGGGACCAAGTCCCCACGTCGCGGAGGGACGCGGCCCCCGCGGTTTATTCCGTGGGTCGTACCGTGATAGTTGTCCCGTGAGTTGTCCCGAGGTTGTCCCGCGGACACCCCGTGGGTTGTGCCGTGGGTGGTCCCGTGGCCGTCCCGCGCTTGTCTCGTTGTTCTCGCATGTGTTCCGTGGTGTTCCTGGAGCTGTCCCGTTGGTCGTCCCGAGGTTGCCCCGTGGTCGTCCCATGGTTGGTCCGTAGGTTGTCCCGTGGTTGCCCCGTGGTTGGTCCAGCGGGTTGTCCCGTGGGTCGTCCCGTGTGTCGCCCCGAGGGAACTGCAAAGAAATCGCGCATCGAAATCCCAAGCGAATTGCGCATTGACGTGCAACTCGAACTTACCATCGAAATGCACACCCAGTTGAAACTAGCATACGATTCGAAATGCATGCCGAGTGCAATTATACTTGCAATCGAACCGCACGTCGAGAAATATACCAACATGCAGATATCCTCTCACCCCACTGCCTTATGTGTCACCTGGAGTGAGGTCTCCGATGTATTCGCTGCATGTGCTTTCTTCTGCTTCGCTGGCGTCCCGCCGATGCCACATCACCCTCCAGACGATGCTGTATTGACAAGAGTGACGGCAAGGATCCAAGCTTGTCTGACGGCTCCTCGACGGGCAAGGGCAAGGGCAAGGGCAAGAAAGGTAAGAAGGGCAAGAGCAAGAAGGGCAAGAGCAAGAAGGACGCTGGGCCAGATCCATTCCCGTCAGAACTGCAGGACCCGCCGCCGCCACCATCCTGCCCCTGCGTTCCCAATTTCCCCCCTGCGTAGCGGCTTCACTCAAGAGGCTTACGCCATTCCGTTGGCCCCCGAAACGGAAGGAACTGCAATTTGGGTCGTACGGTTTGCCCGAGTACGGCAGAACGCAGGAGGACAGCGCAGATCGACGTGGTGACCAGGAAGGACCGGGAGACTAAAGGGGATGGGGAGAGTGGGTAGGACGTTGGGGAGCCTGTGTGATACGCAATTCCTTCTTTGGCTTGTATGATGTGGTACTTGGGGCCCTGCTTGAGGCGTTGATGTTTCTGGGCGTTTCGTCTTGCTCCCTCTCGTCAACCTCCCTCTTCCTCTCTGACTTTCTTTGGAGTGTTGCCCGCGCGCTCGTCGGGTAGTGCAGGCTCCTGGAGCAGCCACGGGGCAGATGCTCAGGTCTGGAGTGGTACGTTGATCGGTGGAGCTGTTCGTGCCTTCTTCCTTGTCCTCCTCGTCGAAAGAGCATAGGGCCCTGCTTGAAGCAACCGGTTCCTGTGGGGGCGGAGGAGTAGGGGAGATGAGGACGATGAGGAATGCCAGAGTACACCCAACGAGCATTAGCGATGCTGCAGAACGCCATCCCGCCCCAAGCCCCTCGCACCTCAGGCCATTGCAAGCATGCCTCCTCACTTCGGACGCCTCATCCTCCTTCTCCCCTTCTGTTATTGCGATGATGAGTATGACTATGATGATGCTGATGATGATGGTGGTGATGATAGTGTTGTTGATGATGTTGACGATGTTGGTGATGATGGTGACGATGTTGGTGATGATGACGATGTTTGTGGTAGTGATGATGTTGGTGATGATGGTGATGCTGATGATGGTGGAGATGATGGCGATGATGATGGTGAAGCTGGTGATGATGATGCTGATGATGATGATGATGATGATGATGATGATGATGATGGTGGTGGTGATGATGATAATGATGATGATGATGATGATGATGATGATGATGATGATGATGATGATGATGATGATGATGATGATGATGGTGACGACGGTGATGGTGATGTTGATGGCGATCATTAAAATACTCATGATGGCGACCATCGACATCATCGAGAGAATAGCCCCACGGGCCTGCCACTCAAGCGCCAGCCCCGTCCTGAGGAGGGAGCGGCCCATCCGCGTAAGGAACTGCCATGCGGTGCTATACCCTGGATGTTACAGCTCTCGCAGGCCTAAAGGTTGACGCCAACACCAAACACCAATATCGGCGGTGTGCCTCCACCGAGGGAAGAAGATCCCTATCTCGGTGATGGTAAGATTCGGGCTTCCTAGGTGGCCGAAAGATTACCACCAACACCGAAAACGAGGATCATCTTCCCCTGGTGGAGGCAACCTCCTGTGTTGATGTTGGTGCCCATTTCCACGTCTCCACAAATCGCGTGTTCAAGCGAGAGCACCGTATGAAAAGGGAAACGACCTGTCTCCGAGCAAAGGCGGGGCAGCCTTGTGTTTGTGAGAGGACTATGACGAGCCATCATGGGGAGAGTCCAGAACGAACGGTGCTCCATCCCTGCATCTGTCAAAGTCTTCACGGCGAGTGTGCGCGGCGTTCCAGCCGCCCCAGCGCCTGCACCTCCCTGCGCTGCGGGCGCTCGCTCACAGGTTTCCTGGGCTCTGGAGGTGTTGGCGTGGATGTCAAAAAAACAGCGTTCCAGCCGCCCTCCATCTCACCGCCCACCAGACCACCCCCAACCCAACCCGAAGGCCCCGATCTGCCCTCCATTTCCACTGGGGGGGGGGGGGGGGGGGGGGGGTCGGGGAGCATTGAAAAACACCTGCAGCTCGCACCCCCCCCAACCCGACATCCGGGTCTAACTCGGGCCTTCGGGTTGGGCCGGGGTGGTCTGGCAGGTCGCCTCCATCCGCCCTCCGTCCGTGCAGCTGCCCAGCACAGCGAGCACTCGGGGGTCGTTGGTGGCGAGGAGGCCGACGCCCGGCCCGCCCTGGCGACACCGCCCTCGTGGTTCGACGGGGAGGAGCGTTTTGCGAGACCGGGCTGGCTGGCGATGAGCCGGAGGAAGCGAATCTGGGCCTCCCAGATGGGGTCGGAGCAGGCGGGGTCGGAGGATCGCGCCGCATCACCGATGCATCGCCGATGTATCGCTGATGCGGTTCGATGTGGAGCCCGATTCTTCCCAAGCGGATGTCGCGGATGCGTCGCCGACGTCGCCGATGCATTGCCGATGCATCGCCGATACATCGGCGATGCATTGGCGATGCGGCGCGATCCTTCGACATCATCTACTCGGACCCCATCTAGGAGGCCTCTAGGGTTGGCTGGTGATGATGAGGAGGAAACAAAGGAGGACAACCGCCGTAGTAGGAGGCACGAAGGTCAACCTCGTTGTGTCATCCCGTACTGTCGACGGCAGAAGGTAACGAGCCTGCAAAGCGGAGGTTACCGCAGGCATCACACGGGGGAGGTAGTTTGCAATTCTCTCAACCAGTGAGTGTTGAGGAGTTCTACTTGGCTACGCGTGTCACCGAGTATTTGGGCCTGTCTTATGTATCTCGCCAGGCCTTGTAGGCCATTTCTGGGGGGCCTCTGGGTGCTCTCTTGGTAGTCTTGTGGAGCCTCGTTGAGCCATCTTGGCGTCACTTCGGGGTCTTGGGGTCTTTCCGGACAGTCTCGGGCGGCGCCGCGTGGGGGGAATCATCAGGCCGTCGTGGGGTGGTCTGAGTCCTTTTCGGATGCAGTTTGGATCCGTACTGGAGGTTGGCCTGGAGCCTTCGGGGCCATGTTGGGCCCTCTTTGGGGACATCTTGTGCTGCCTGGGGGCCTCGTGGATGCTTCCCAGACCCTCTCGGGGAAGTCTGGAAGCGTTCAGGCGAGATAGCCAGACACATCGCAGGACATACAGTCAGGACGCTGAGGTCGGGAACATTTGTGGCCAGAAGAGCCCCTTTGTTTCTTAATTCAACGTTCCTGGTGGTAGCACGATGACTGTAAGTTTATGATGATTTGGGGTGTCGGACCTCTTTCGGCATTCATGTCTTTTGTGGCCTCTTGAGTCCTTCTTGAGGCATCTCGGGCGTGTTGGAGCCCTCCCCCCCCTCCCCCCTCAAACAGAGCGTTGGACCCTTGGAGAGGAGGAAGGAGAGATGAGGCCTGCCTAGGCTAGAGCGTTCCGATACGCTCTCCGAGCGTTCTGGAACGCTCTGCAAACAACCGCTGCGCCCGGTGCGTACTACAGACCCGCCAGTTATCTGAGATTCTCGACTTACCCTCATCCCGATGTGTCTTTATTCCGCCTTCGTCGTTGGAGGGAAACAGCCGGTCATCTCATACGTTTTCCCACCCTCGGCAAGAAGGGTCGGCCGACTCCTTGAGTAGCACCGACCTCGTGGCAAGTTTTCGCTTTCTCCCGATCGCCCTGATCATTATCTTCTTGTTCCATCCCCTCTTCCCTCATCCGCGAGCACTACCTATTCCTCATCCTTCTCATCCTCCTGTGTTCTTATCTGCCTTATCTCATGCTCCGGAACCCTGCTCGCAAGAAAGAACGCTGGCAAACAAGGACAGCGATGACTCTGGCGGGGAGCAGGGCGCTTCACCTTCGGCGACGAAGGGTAAGGGAAAGAGCAAGGACAAGAGCAAGAGCAAGAGCAAGACGGGCAAGGACAAGGACAAGGGCAAGAACAAGAAGGGTGCGGAGGACATGCGTTCATCATTTCCGAATAACCTCGACGTCCAATCGACGCTCCGATTGATCATCGTCTTTGGTCATCCTCAATCGCATGCGCTGTGTCGTTTGTTTTGCTTGCTTCTCTTTCTCTCTCTCTCTCTCTCTCTCCTTCTTCCCCTCCTTGAAGCAGGCCGCCTCCTCTAGCTTTTCTATTCTAGATACTTCGCGCAACCCACCAGCCGATCCATAAACGATGCCCAGGCGAGTTGGCCTTGATCAGGGATGTGGAGGAGCATGCAGTGGAATCAAGGGCTGCGGAAGCCGTCATTCCCTAAGACGGAGAGAATGGAGGAGGAACCAGAGGGGGAAGGGGAGGGGAATGAGGAGGAGGAGGAGGAGGAGGAGGAGGAGGAGGAGGAGGAGGAGGGGGTGGAGGAAGAGGAGGAGGAGGAGGAGGAGGAGGAGGAGGAGGAGGAATATGCGGATGAGGAGGAGGAGGAAGAGGAGGAGGAGAAAGGAGGGAGGAGGAGGAGGATGAATATGCGGATGAGGAGGAGGAGACTGGATGGATGGATGGATGGATGGATGGATGGATGGATGGATGGATTGATGGATGGATGTGGGAGGAGCGAGAAGGAGGAGGGAGAGGAGGGCGAGCAGAAGGGCCAGATGTCTCTTGGGGCGTCTTGGGAGTCTCTTGGCCGTTCCAGGGGCCTCTTCGGGCATCTTTGGTGCCCCTGGGTGCCTCTTGGGGCCTCTTGGGGGCCGCTTGGGAGCCTCTTGGGGCCATCTTGCGGACCTCTTGGGGCCCTCTTGGAAGCCTGGGAGGCCTTGTTGGGAACATCTTGGAGGATATCGATCAAAGAGGGGGGGGCCTTAATCAGCCTCGCCCGCCTGGATCTCAAAGTCGCGTCTTGGGGCCCTCTCGGAGCGCTCTTGGGGCGCTCTTGGGCGCTCCTGGGGCCGTCTTGGGACAATTTTGGGCCTGTCTCAGGGCCCTCTAAGGCCTTCTTGGAGCCATCCTGAGGCCTCGGGAGCCGATCGCAAGCGAAAGAGCGAGAAGGCCACGATCATTGATTTGCCTGAGATGTTGCACAGGGGCCTCTTTGGAGACATCTTGGAACCCATCTTGAGCCAGCTTGGACCATCTTGCGCCATCTTGGAGGCCATCTGAAAGCATCTGGCGCCCTCTCGGAGCCATCTAACAAAAACACAAGAGGCGTCCAGGCGACCTCTGGCGAAGCGTATTTTGACGTGTCCAAGTTGTAGGCGAAGTGGGGCCCAAGAGGCATTCTCGATGTCCCCGGCAGCGCATTTGGGAGGTGAAGAAGAGTGCCCGCCCGACGGGGGCCACATGGAGGCCAACTGCGAAAGTGTATTGGAAGTGGTGTGGCGTTCGAGATTGTCCTGGACGCTGTCTGGAAGCCGTCTTGGGTCGCCAAGAGGGGCGTTGCGCCTACCTGTCGGTGGAACCGAGGAGGCCTCTGGGGGAAAGAAATGGGGGGCTGCAAGCCCTGTATGGAGCTTCCAGAGTGCAGCCCCACACGCCCCTCAGCCTGGTAGGCGGGTGGATTCAAGACGTCCCAGGCGTTCTGGCATCCATGTCCCAGAGATTCGCGGGTGTCTGCCAGGACCTTGCCAGAGACAGCCCCGGATTTAATCCGGTCGGCGACGCCCAGGGGCCGCCACGCGCGCGCGAATGAGTTAACACTCTGCACCTCTTCCCAGAGATTCCAGCACGTTGCCCGCCCGTTGTACCGGCGATTTATTACAAGGGGTTGCCCTCCAATTGTACAAAGATCGATGATCCTCCGATCGTGTGTTTGCCCAGTGTGTGTTATCCTCCCTCAGCTCCGCCGATAACTCGCAGCTCTTGACAGTCATCAGTGCTCAGAAGCAAGTGTTGCGGGGCCTCGTCCAGGCCCCGCAGGAGGCGTCTTTTCGATGCGACTCGCCTCTTGCCCTTATGATTCAGAAATTGACCCTCAGCTCTTCCTCCCATCCTTATCCTCTTATTTCTTCCGCCTCTTTAATCCCTCCCTCGTCTTCCCCGCTCCTGCCCTTCGCCCCTCTCCGCCGACAGCTGGTGCACATGACTGGCGCAACTTTCCGTTACTGACGTAACCCTTTCCGTCAGTAGTGGTGGTTGCTGACGCGGAAATAGCATCGTGTTGTCGGTCGTTCAGAGAAGCCGACGCAATTTTCCGTTACCGACGTAACGCTTCCGTTGATAACGAAATTCCCTCGTTGGTGACGTAAACGTCCCATCGGTTCTGTCAGTTCCGTGAGTTATTGTTGCGGCTTGTGGCGGAGCTTGGCTCCCGCGACGCGCGAGGGACACGTGTTTCTCCAGCCCATCTAATCTAGGTCAGCGGCGCTTTTCGCACATCATTTCACGCGCGGCACCTGCGATCCACCAGCGTGCCGAGGCGCTCTGTGACGCGCGCATGTGTGCGCTTACATAACGTGCAAATTACCGAAAGGCTTCGGTGGACAAACACGCGTCAACGTTAGCACACGTGCTGAGGATCATCGAACATATTACGCAGCCTTCAAGGTCTAGCGAGGGGCCAGCCGTAGGCTATAGGGTAAAGGATGGGATAAGTAATGGTACGGACGAAAGCGCAGCCTGGTCGCGCCAGGGAGGGGCCCTCGTGGCTCGCTGGCAGGCTGCGGAGGTTTCGCCGGCAATCCGCGGAGGTCTCGCTGGCAGGCCACAGAGGCCGTTCCGGCATGTCGGGGAGCCGTCGTCGGCATGCCGCGGAGGCTTCGCGGGCATGCCGCGATGGCCTCGCCGACAGCCTACGGAAGCTTGGCTGGCAGGCCGCGGCATATGGGCTGGCGCAGGCGGGTGTCGGGGAGATCGAGGGGTCTGCCGTATGCTAATCATGTAGAACACTACAAGATGTGGCAAGTCTACAACGATTGGATACAACAGATACTTTGCAGGATCGCCCCCGCAGAAAACGCTGCCGCTCAGCACGTCACTTCAAGACGTGGAATCAAGAGGCCTGCGCCATTCCGCCGACCCCCAGAAGAGGCGTGGAGTTCACGGTTGAGGCGTCGTGGGCTTTTTGGGCGGTGTGTACGGATTCTTGTGGGCGTCTCGGGAGTTGTTTGGGGGACTGGCGGAGCGCCTCTTGAAGGCAGTTTTGAAACGTGTCGGGGGCCGCCTGGGGTCCTCTTTTGGGCCTCTTGGGGGCCTCTTCGGGCTTATGGGGGGCCTCTTTTGGGCCGCTTGGAGGCTTCTTGGGGCCTTTGGGGGTTTCTTGGGGCAGAAAGAACGGAATTTCGGTTCGTCTTCTCCCGCTTTGCCTCTCTTGGGGCCCTATTGGCGCGATCTTTAGCCGTTGTGGCTATGGGCCGTCTAGGAACCCTCTTGGGCCGTCCTGAGGCCCGCTGAGGGACTTTTTGGGCAGTCTTGGGGGCGGTCCACGGGGCATATTGGGCCGTCTTGGAGCGTCGGAAGCTCGAGAAAACCAGAAGCCCAGAAACAATGAAAAAACAATGAAGCCATTGATGCTTGCCTCTCGGGCCTGGGCCCACTTGGGAAAGCTCTTGGCTCTTGGGGCGTGTCGAAGGCGTCTTGGGACGTCTTTGAGCCATCATACGCAGGCGTCTTGGGCCAATCGTTCGGCGATTCGGGACAGTCTTGGAACGTCTTTGAGGCCATTGAAAGCAGATTTGAAAGCTCCGGAGTCTCCCGGGGTGCGCCGGGGAGCCCCTCCCCCCCTCCTGCCCCCCCCCCTTCCCTCCCACCTTACTTAAATTGGATTTGGGGCACTGGGGGGGCAAGGTGGAGGGGGAGAGCCAATCATCTCACACGCCTTCTCCCCCCCCCCCCCGGCAAAGCGGCGGTCGGCGAGTTCCCCACAGGCGTTTCAAGGGTGTTGGCCTCTCGGGAGAATCCTCGGGAGGCCCCTATGGACCCGTCTTGGAGTTGTCTTGGGACCCCTTGGAAAATCTTGTCAGCCATCTTGAGCCATCTTGCGCTATCCTAAACCATCGTGGAGGCCATCATGGGCCCTCCGGGGTCCTCTCGGAGCCATCTTGGACGCTCTAACGCCCCGCTGGGCGCCCCGTCCAGGTCCAGGGGGAAGGAGCAGGGTGAGAGGTAAACCCCTCCCCGACGGGGAAGACGGGGTTGGAAGAGGACACGCTTTAAGCTACTCACGCCCTGAAGGGCTGGTGGGACTTCACTTCGTGTCCCGCATCCTCCTACCTCGCGGAAGCAAAAAGAAAAGAAGGACAGAGATGAGCCCGACGAGGAGGAAGTCGTTTCTGACGAGCCATCTTCTGCGGCGAAGGGCAAGGGCAAGGACAAGGACAAGAGCAAGAGCAAGAAGGGCAAGAGCAAAAAGGGTTCGCAGGACCCGCCAGCGCTCCCAGTTTCATCGCTGAGAACTTTCTACATCTGCTTTCCGCCTGTTTCCCTGCGTACCCATTTCTTCTCGTGGAGTGTGAATGGAGGCATCAGTTCAGGAAGTTGTTCTTTCCCGTCTGAGTATAGTTTCTTTATCTGTCCGTGGAGTGTGGGGTAGGCCTCGCAAAGGGCAGCGGAGTTTCTCCTTGTGCTGCCATTGCAGTTTTCCTTTCCCTGGACCTCTGGGCCGCCAGAATGCGGCCAGAGCAGGTGGGACTGGAGGATCGCGCCGCATGTCGGAGACATCGGCGATCGTGCGCGATCTGGAGCCTGATGTACTCCATCCCGGCCTCGCCGATGCATCGCCGCCGATGCATCGCCGATGCATCGCCGCCGATGCATCGCCGCCGATGCATCGCCGCCGATGCTGGTCGCACAGCGTCGCCGATGCATCGCCGCCGATGCATCGGCGACGCTGTGCGACCCACCGACCCCGTCCACTCCTGGCCCCAAGCTGGGCGCCTCCGCTGCTTCGTCTTCCCTGGCCCGCCCTGCCTGCGAGGCAGGGGCTGCTGCACAGCCACCGCCCCGGGGAACCGACCTCCCAGGAGGCGGCGGGTACGGATGGGGGCGCCGGCCGAAGCCCCGAGGCATTGAAAGTTCACACGGGGGAGGCCGCGGTCGGCGTGATTGGGGACCGCGCCGGATTGGGGCGCCGGCCGAAGCCCCGATGGATTGAAGTCACACGGGGGTGGCCGCGGTCGCCGGATTGGGCCCGAGGGGCTCCAGACCTCTGGCGGGTGGGAAAGGGGTGTGGTGCAAAGGGGTGCGGTGCCACTGTTAACGTGAAGGGGGATCTGGCGACGCTATCCATCGTAGATCACATCGCCATTTCCACAAGACCCTGGGAGCGGCGCCGACGAGAGGTTTTGGAAAGCAGAGCTGCTCGGGGCCCTCGGGGCCCAGATCGTGTCCGCATCCACCGCCCCCCCCTGGGGCCTTGAGAGGTCGGCTCCCTGGGCGGTGGACGTGCGGAGATCCCTGCCCCGCGCCCACTGGCGCGGGCGCGCGGGGGCGTGGCGCCACGTCGACCCTCGCTCCCCACGCACAGCCGACGTTTCACGACGTGCCCCCTGGCCCCCTCCTCCCACCCCCCCAGAGGTCTGGACCTCTCCCCTGGGCCGGCTTTCATCCCGTGCCCTTCTTCCGTGGCCCCAGGGCCCGGCAGGGCCTCCCCGGGAGGCCGAGCGCAGTACAAAGTTCAAAGCCGTACGCCGTGTTTATCGCTTTCGCAATGGAGGAGGCGGGGGGGGGGGGCCCTGCTGGGCAGTGGCCCCCCCCTCCCCCCCAATCCAGGCCTGCAAGGTGGAGTCCGAGCAGACGGGGACGGAGGATCGCGCCACATCGCCAATGCATCGGCGACGGGGCTCGATGTGGAGCCCGAATTTCTCCACGCCGACGGCGCCGATGCATCGGCGATGCGGCGCGATTATCCGACCCCAGAGACCGAAAACTGTCTACAAAAGCTCGTCCGTCGTGCTTCTTCTTCGCAGCGAGAGGAGGTAGGGGGCTCGTGCTGGGCAGCGGCCTTGGTCGCCGCAGTGATCCTCATTCGCCTCCTCGATCCTCCTCCTAGGTCCTCCGTGTCCTCGATCCTTGATCTCTCCGATCCTAGATTATCCTGCTCATCCTCCTCCCCCTCATCGATCATCCCCCTCCCCCTCGATCGTTCTCGATCCTCGATCTCCTCGATCCTCCTTCTCCTTCTCCTCCTCATCCTCCTCCTTCTCCTTCTCCTGTTCCTCCTCATTTTCTTGTCCTTATACATAACTTCTCCCTGTCGCACCCCGAGGCACGTTTTTAGGGCGAGCCGGGCGTTTCGCCTGAGACTTCCTCACCAGTTACGACTCTGAAACTTCAAAGTTGGCAACAGTTTCACAGATGGAGGGTGGGTCGTTTTCAAAATGTGGCTCTCGCCGTAGCGCGCCGCACAGTCGTCTTAAACATTAGCAAGAGTTTCACGGATTGAGGGGGGTCGTTTTTTAAATGTGGTTCTCGCTTAGCGCGGCGCACATTCGTTTAAACACTTGCAAGAGTTTCACGGAGTGAGACCAGGCCGTTTCCAAAATGTGGTGTTCGCCACAGCGCGGCCCTTATTCGTTTTAAACATGTGCAAGGGTGTCACGCATCTTCCATCATACTCGTGCCAGGAACGGTGTTTTGAACGGATTCCGGATTATGTGGGTGCAACAGAGTCCCAGGAATGGCATGCTGGCATGATTTAGGAATGCCAAGACGCAACAGGCATGCTCCAGGGTCTTTAAACGGTTGTCTTCCAAAGGGCCAGTTCCTTCAATGGAAATGAACCGTCGTAGGGGCCCACGAAGAGGGAGCTTGGAGGGAGGGTTTATCCCAACATCGTTGAGGACCCTTGGGTTTACACTGGTCCATCCTCCTTCTCCTCCTCGATCATCCTCGACCCTCAGTCCCCCTCCCCCCCCAATGGCTGCGCAGGAGCGCGCGCGGCTCCTCGGGGACGACTCGGGGGAGGACTCCCAGTGAAGCGGGCCGCGCGGCCCGCGCTGCGCAGGCCGCGGGTGCAGAGGCAGGCCGCTGCGGCAGCGCGCTGCCGGCAGAGGCGCGAGGAGAAGGACTGCCCTCTTCCTCCACTCGTCAGAGGATCGGGCCGGGCGAAAGGGGGGGATTGGGAAAGGGGGGGTTACGAAATCTACTACACGCAGCTGGTTTCAGCCTCACCGAGAGGCCCATTCCTCGATACATGGCCGCATCCGGCGCCGGGAAAATCAGCTACGTGAGCTGATTCTCAACCCCCCCCTTTGCTATCCCCCCCTTTCGCCCGACCCGAGAGGAGCCGTGAGATGGTGTCTGATCTTCTGGCGCGCAGCGTTCCTTGCCTGAGCCAGTCCCGTCCCCCCCTCCCCCCTGGGCAAGAGAAACGATCGCACGTAGGAGGGGGGGTGGAGGGCTGGACCCTCCCCACATGCTGGTGCTCGCACGCGTACTGTGGCGATCGCAGCGCACCCCCGCCCCGACGCGCCCCACCCCGACCAAGCGTGTCCGTTACCCAGGGCCCACCCCCCGTAGTACAGAAGCAGTATCAGGAAGTCATGATAATAGAATAGTGCGTCCCAGGGCTACCGATATTTCCGCGATTTGCCCTTGTTCGGCGCGGGCTCCGGGCATGGACATGTTTGGGACTTCTGGAGCGCAGTTGTCCTGAGCCAATCGCATCATGACATCGCGATCGTCCTGGATCTTCGTCCTCCGGAGGTGTTTCCGGAGCTGTTTTCCGGGAAGCGGGCCCTCCGGAGTTCTTTCCGGCCGTTCTCGGCCTCCCGGGGCCCTCCACGGGCCACCGCGGGCCGTCAGGGAGCAGTGCACGTCGAAGGACTGGTCCCTAGGTAGGGGGGCGAGGCGGGTCAAGGACCTGCTTCCTGCCGGACCGCATTTCTTTATGCCGACATTCCTCCTCCTTCTCCTCGTCCTCCGCTTTCCCTTTCGGGGGTGGAAGCCTTGTCCTCTCCTCCTGCATCCTCCTGCGCTGTTCCCTGGGTGGCTGCGAACTGCGCATCTGTCGCCACCCTCGCGGACTGGGAGGCACGGCGGAGTCGTGGAGTACACGTACCCAGCCGAGATAGTCGAGACTTCGCAGCTCCTTAGTGCGGCTACGAACTGCGAAATCGTCGCCTTTTTCGTGGGCTCCTGGGAGGCACGGCGGAGTCGCGGAGTACGCGCACCCAGCCGGGACATGGCAGCTTTTTGGGGGGCTGCGAACTGCGCAACCGTCACCCCTTTCGCGGGCAAATGCGAAGTCCAGCGGGGTCGGGGGCCACGGGCACCCAAGCGGGACCTCGCTGCTCCTTGCGTGGCTGCGAACTGCGCAATTGTCGACACTTTCGTGGGCTCGGGGACAACGTGCACCCATTTGAGACCTCGCTGCCCCGTGGTCTGCGAACTGTGCACGTGGCGCCACTTGCGTTGGCTCCTGGGAGGTCGAGCGGGGTCGGTGCCAACGCGAATCCAGCCGATACCTCGCGGCTCCCTGGGAGGCTACGACGTGCGAAATTGTCTGCACTCCCTTAGGCTCGTGGGAGGCACGGCGGAGGTGAGGGCGGCGCAGGTCATGCATATCTGGCGATGCGTTCTTTCGTATGCAGCGTTCATACAAACATTCGCCTCGCGTGGAGCCCAGAGTTGCGAGGATGTCTCAGTCGAAATGAGCTTGACCACCTCGCTCACACCTTCAAGGAGCCCGGAATTGCGAGGATGTCTCAGGCGAAACGGGCTGGACCAATTCGCGTGCAGCATCTCTGAGCCCAGAATTGCGAGTATGTCTCAGGCGAAACGGGGTCGACCAACTAGCGCGCGGCATCTCGGAGCTGGGAGTTGCGAGGACGTTTCAGGCTGCGCCCAGACCCTTCCCAGAGCACACTTAGACAAGTGAAGTGGAATCAAATGATTCGTTTGGGTCTGATCCCTCCTCCCTCCTCACTCCTCCCTTTCTGAGCTAAGATATTCGAGGATATTTCAGGCAAAACGTGCCAGGCCACCTCGCGCGCAGCATCTGGGAGACCCGGATTGCAAGGATGTCTGAAGCGAAACGGGCCAGACCGCCTTGCGCAAATTTTCTGAGAGACAAGAATTACAAGGATATCTCATACGAAACGAGCTGGACTACCTCGCGCACATCTTCCCAGAACCCGGAGTTGCGAGGATGTCTCAGGCGAAACGGACTGGACTACCTTTCGCGCGGCATCTCGAAGCCCAGAGCTGCGAGGATGTCTCAGGCGAAACCGGCCAGACCACCTGGCGGGATATCTCGGGGCCAAGAGTTGCGAGGATGTCTCAAGCGAAACGGGCTGGACCACCTCGCGCGCGGCATCTCGGATCTCGGAGTTGCGAGGATGTCTGAGGCGAAACGCGCCGGACCACCTCTCTCGCGGCAGCTCGAAGCTCATAGTTGATAAGATGTATCGGGCGACACGCGCCGGACCACCTCGCGAGCGGCATTTGGGAGCTCAGAGTTGCGAGGTTGTCGCGGGCGAAACGCGCTGGTCCACCTCTCGCGCGGCATCTCGGAGCTCAGAGTTGCGAGGATGTCTCAGGCGAAACGCGCCAGACCACCTTGCGCGCGGCGTCTCGGAGCCCCGAAGTGCGAGAAGGTCTCAAGCGGAACGCCCAATTTCAGCCAACTCAGAAACGAGAGTTGCGAGGATGTCTCAGGCGAGAAGGCCCGGACCTCCACAGCATGTCTCTCGGCGCCCGTTCTTCGACTGGAACCTGCTACGATCACATCAAGCCACCGTTCAGCACGCCGTTTGGGGCACAATCGAAGGGGAAGCAATAATTGTTGCCTTTCGGGGCCGTCGTGAGGGTGCTCTTGGAGGCCTCTAGGGCCGTCTTGGAGGCATCTTGGGCCGTCTGTAGGCCACCGTGGGGTCTTGGAGCGACCTCTCGGCGAATCGTAGCCCTCTTGGACACGACGAGGGTTGGGAGGTCGATTTGGGCGGGCACAGCTTCTACAGGACCGGCAGGAAACACCCCAGAACTCACGGGGGAAAGCCCGGAAGAGCCTGGTATGGCCTGGAACTCCAGAGTTCCAGGCCCTGGCGAAACTACAGTCCAAGCTGCAGCAGCAGCACAGCGCTGATCCTTAGGGCATCCCACTTCGTGCCAGAGCAGGATGGATCCTAAATAGATACTAGCCGGGGTTTATAATGTTCCAGGACTGTTGACCCGGGTTCATAATGTCTCCCCAGGAACATTATGAACCTGGGTTTCAATGTTCTGGGAATATTGACTGGGATTCAAAATGTTTCCCCCGGAACATTATAAGCCTTGGTTTATATTGTTCTGCTGGCATCGATCCCAAAAACATATCAACCTGGGTTCATACTGTTCCGGGTATATTGACTGGGGTTTACAATGTCCCAATAATGAACCCAGTTGTCGTAATTCCGGAAAGATAGCAATTATTATTTTCCCCCCAACCCCCAGGTTCCCCACCAGGTCTCTCATGTCGGAATATTGACCCTGGTTCATTATCTCCAGGAGATAAGAAACCCGGATTCTCAATGTTCCCGGAATATTGACCCCGTGTTAGTTATTCTGGAATGATAATGATTGAACCTGGGGGCCGCCGTTTGAGAGTACGGTCCGGACTGAAATAAACCCTGGTCCATAATGTTGGAATATTAAACTTAGGTTGATTATTCTGGAAAGATAATGATTCGGCTGGGGGTGGGCTGAGCCCGACCCATTCACAGGACAGTAATCCATAGGGTATCGACTGAAGATAATGAACCTAGGTTTTCATTCCTAGAGAATCAACCACGGTCGACGAGGATGTTGGAGGTGGCCTCTGCCAGAGCCACGGTGGCTGATACAGAGATGCATGGTTTGAAAACAGTTTCTCCCAGTCTGCCAGGAGATGCCCGCGCTGGGCGGACCAGTGGCGGCATGCGCTCGAAAAAAAGGAGAGGCAGCAATGCGGCCTGGAACGCGGCCGAATCCACGTACCCTTTCTGCCTCATGCGCTGCCGCTCGTCCCTCTGCTGCTGGCGGCCGCCCGCCAGGTTCATCGACGTAGAGAACCAGGACGTCCGTGCGCGGTGGCCAGACATGGGCAGCTGGCAGGCGCCCTGCGGCTTATGAGCAATTTACCTCCGACGGCGCTGGCCTCACTGGAAGAGCACACAACCCCAGGAAAGCACCCCAGACATGCTCGCGCCGCGGAAAATTCGCGGCGGAGGCTTTTTGGCCGTTTTCGGCCTCTGGGGGCCCAACAGAGGCCGCGTATTGAATTAACCGCATGCCGATGATAATAAAGGGACCCCCCCCCCTTCAGTGTTCAGAGTTGATTATCGTCGCCCTATACAAAATTCAAATTGGGCGGCGAGCGCTGAGGCCGAACTTCATTATCACCTCGAAGCGCTATGTTGAGATAGCAACATCAAGCGATGTTGATATAGCAACATCAAGCGAAACGATCACACTTTTTCAGGATGTGTCAAGCGAAACCAATAATTTTGGGAGGCAGACTCAAATGAAACAAGCAATGTTTCAAGGATGTCTCAAGGATGTTTCAAGCTAAACCAGCAAGTTTTTTTCTTTTTATTTATATGTTTTATTATCTTCCTGTTATATATGTATATATCCCCGCGCGCGCCTGAACTTTTTTATCTCTGGTTTTGATTATCCATGGAAAGGGGAGCACATGAGCTACCCTACACGAGCACTTTAAAAAATCAATTTTCATAAAGCGTTTGTAAATTAAAACTGATAGATTTGGAACTTTCCATTTTTCTGTTCTTCTTCTCTTCTTATTCTCCTCTTCTTCTTCTCTTCTTATTATTATTATATTTTCCTCTTCTTCTTTTATATTTCTATCTGTCCTCACGCTCGCCTGAACTTTTTTTTATCCCTGGGGTTGATTATCCATGGAAAATGAAGCACATGGGCTACCCTACACGAGCACTTAAAAATCAATTTTCATAAAGCGTTTGTAAATTAAAACTGATAGATTTGGAACTTTGGATTTTTCCTTTCTTCGTCCTCTTCTTATTCTCCTCTTCTTCTTCTCTTCTTATTATTATTCTACTGTATTCTTCTTCTTTTATATTTCTCTCTGTCCCCACGCTCGCCTGAACTTGTTTATGTCTGGGGTTGATTATCCATGGAAATTGAGGCACATGAGCTACCCTACACGAGCACTTACAAAAAACAATATTCATAAAACGCTTGTAAAATCTAATAGATTTAAATTCGAGATTGTTTCTTCTCTTCGTCCTTCTCCTCCTCCTATGATTTCTTTTATTTTATTCTTTATTATTTTTATTTTTATTTTTTGTATATAGCTTCCTCCATTCCTCCGCCCGCCTGAACTTTATTATCGCCGCCGTTGATTATCTAGGGACGCCGAGGCTGATGAGCTATTCCGAGGATGTCTCAAGCGAAACAAGCATATATTCGAGAATGTCCGAAGCGAAACAAGCATATAGATGTCTGACGCGAAACGATGCGTTTCTTAAGGATGTCTCAAGCGAAATAAGCAATAGTTTGACTGTGTCTCAAGCGAAATAAGCAATAGTTTGCGGATGTCTCAAGCGAAACAAGGGATTTGTCGAGGATGTCTCCAGCGAGATAAGCCATTGTTGAGGATATTTCTATGAAAACTAAACGCCAAGGATGTCTCAAAACGTGCTCGGCTTGGTCTCCTCTTGATCATCTCTTACTTCGAGATTATGCTGAGGTCTGCTGGGCTACTTTTATTATCTCTCCATGAACCCCGAACTTTATTATCCCCTAGTGTTTATTCTCACGGGCATGAGGTTACCCCAGCAAGGGGTCCCAACATAAACAAAGGTGAAGAGTTGAGTCGAGGATTCGGAGGTCGGCCATAGGGGACACGGGTGAGAGCATGTGCACCTTGTTTGCTGTCAGAATGGATCGTTGCCGTCCGGACCAGAAACGTAGCTGGCGGCATTGAAGCGAGAACACGATCCTTAAATACATTGTGAGGAGGTGTCAGGCGAGACAGATGCCGGACCGGGCCCCTCTAGCGAAACGCTACACGGGGAGTGAAGCGTCTGCATCAGCTTAAAAACTTTCGGAGGTCCGCGCGGATCTCTTGGATCGTGCGCTGGCCTCCTCTGGCGGCGCCTCGGTCTGGCGCCGCCTCACGGCGCGCGGAGCGCGCCAGGGAGGGGAGTCCAGACCGGATCCAAGAACCCCGCGCGGATTTTGAAAGTTCATGCTTATGCCGATTTGCATCCTTATATTCATGTTTCCTGGTCTTCCGTCTGCTCCGAAGGCGGTGGCGGCGACAGTGCCGGTGTGGCAGGATGTCGCAGCTTCCGTCTCCCGCTCCCCTCAAGCTCTCTCGCACGTGCAGGGTCTCGTCCCGTCGCGTCGGACCGGCTGCGGCAGTGTGCGACGGAGACCCGCTGAGTTGGCGTGCCTTGGAAGTCCCTTCGCTCTTGCTTGGCGGGCGGGGGTCATGGGCGCTCTCCCTCTCGCGCGTTCCGCAGGAAAGCTTTGCCCCTTGAGAGACATTCTAGGCATCTTGCTCTGCACTTCGGCCCCCCTGGTGTACGATTCACTCGGCCGCGGCCAGGAAGCTTGGCGTTTCGCTCACAGCGCCGTTGCGACAGAAACAAATAATTTGTACCGTTGGCAGCTCAGTATCAGCATTCTCCGCGCCGTTCTGCTTCCCTCCCTCCCCCAGTCAAGAGCGGCTGTTTGGGACGCCAGGGGATATCCTCAGAGCACCCTGGCCGCTTCTTCTCCTCCTCCTCCTCCCCCTCCCTTCCCCCGTTCCCTCTCCGTCAGCCTGCGGTGCTGGTCGACAGTGGCGTGGCGGCGGACGCCGGCCACGGCACGTCCGGGAGTGGCGCACGCATCGCAGTTCCTGGTGGAATGGCAGCGGTGGAAGAAGCTCCTTGGATCCCTCGCTCCCCCACTGCCGCCGCCTCTCCCTCCCACTCCCCCGGCCCCCCCCCCGTGTCCTCGTCCTCATCCCCCCTCCCTGCCCCCCCCCCCGTGCCCCTCCCACTCTCCCGGCCCCCCCCCCCGTGTCCTCATCCACAATTACACAATATGAATACTACTCTCCCACTTCCCCTGATGGCGTCCGGAAGATGTTCGGCACCCCCCCGCGTACTGTTTTTTTACACACAGGATTCCCCGGAGTTGGGTTTTCGCTTGTGTTTTTTTCTAAAATGCTGCTCTCGCTGAGGCGCTGGCTAATTTTCGGGCCCCCGCTCGTTCCGAATCGTGCTCCCGCTGCAGCGCTGGCATCATTTCCGCCAGCGCGTGGGCTGCACGCCCGAGCCGGCGCCCGGGCCGGCGCTCGGGCCGGGTCCGGAGCCGGTTCCGGCCGCCCCCAGAAAATGGAGTTCCGAGGCGGCGCCGAAAAAAAACCATTCTAATAGACATTTTTCTGTTGAAAATGCTCAATCTCTGCTTCCGGCGCCCGGGGGCCTCCCGGGCCGATTCCGACGCCCGGGCTGGCGCCCGAGCCAGCGCCCGGGCCAGACGCCCGAGCCGGCGCCCGGGCCGGCGCCCGGGCCGGGTCCAGAGCCTGTTCCGGCTGGCGCCGGAAAATCGAGTTCCGAGGCGGCGCCGAAAAAAACCATTCCAATACACATTTTTCTTATGAAAATGCTGAATTTCTGCTTCTGGCGCCCAGGAAGCCTCCCGGGCCGATTCTGGCGTGCTTCCGCTCGTTCCGAATCGTGCTCCCGCTGCAGCGCTGGCCTCATTTCCGCGTTTCCGCTCGTTTCCACTCGTGCTCCCGCTGCAGAGCTGGCGTGATTTCCCGTGCCATGCCACGGCATGCAATGCAATGCTAGGTTGATACTACGCTTCGCGGTGCTCTTCTACGCCATGCCATGCCGTGCTCTACAATGCATCGCGTACCCTTTCGGGATCATTGCCCTGCTCGACATCCGACTGTGCGAGTAGAGAAGGGATCTGCGCCATGGTAAGGGATGGGAGGGAGGGATAGGATGTCAGATATGACGCGAGCGCACCTAGCTTGTCATCCCCCCTCCCTGCCCCCCCCCCCGTGCCCCTCCCGCTCTCCCTGCCCCCCCCCCGTGTCCTCGTCCTCGTCCTTCGTTGCCCTCCCTCTCCCGCGCGAGCGCCGCGGCGGACGCAAGCAGCCCACGCGCGGGGGCGCGGCACGATCTTGATCACGCTGACCGGAGCCTGGACTGGAAACCCAAGCCTGATCTCGCAGGCTAAGACCTAAAACAACACCGAAACCTGGACCTAAGGCTAGACCTAAACTTGTAATGTCAAGGATCTTGTGTCGCCTGATTTGCCACGTTTGCTGCACCCGATTCCGAAGAGAGGGGAGTCCCGAACTACCTCTCCCTTCATGCGCTCCTCCTTGACGTCCACCTCCGCCTCCTCCAACCTGGGAGCGTTTTGGTTCGCCCAGGAATGTCCTGTGCCCATGTGCATCTGCCTGCCTGTACACCAGCCCACGCAACGATCGCACCAAGCGATCACGTGTAGGGCAGGCATGCTTAGCTCCTGATGCCAGCCTATCTGCATGACCATGCAGGTGGAGGGTCAAAAGTGGTTCAATGGCGGTTGTTCGGGGGCGGCTCAAGCGGGGAGTTGCTGCTGTTCAGAATTCCCTGCACTCGTGAGCACTACTGTCATGTCGCTGTTTGCACCCCCCCCTCCCCCGTTCCTGCCTGCGGGAGGCCTTGATTAATAACGTAGGCACAATTTGTGATGTTCGGTAGGGGGGACCGGGGTACTTCAGTTCGGCCCTCGAGCTGTTTCAAAGCAAAGGCACTATCTGGCCTCCGGTGACGCTGCCCTGGATGGCACCCCTCCTTTCGAGATGAGGCAGCGAAGATCCCCAACCGCAAATACGAAGCCGATGGTCCACTGTATGGGTGCCTTCACTGCCGTCTGTTGCCTCCGCAAGCGGGTCTTCAATCTCAACAGCGGAGTGCTACTCCAGGGCATTGTCGTAAATTGCTGTCAGGCACTTTTGCTTTGCGTGTAGCACTGCAGGTTCTGGCCCACCATGCTTGGGGGCAACACGCTAATCACGTCCCAGCCCCCCAGCCTACCGTGTCGCCGGGCCCCCCGCCGCGATGCGCTAATCAAAAGCTCCTGACAGCAGCCCGAGAAAGTGTTCATGATTTTTAAATGGTGTCACCTTCCCTGGAATGAGACCTTTGAGCCACAGAGACGGATTGCTGAGGGCTCCTTGGGCCGCTTAGGAAGAACAGTTCGGGTGCTCGTGATAGCCTGTATACCCAGCAGTGCAGGACATGTCCGAGCCTTGTCAACGGCCCAAATTCATCAAAGGCCCTGGCCAGCTCTCGTCAGAAAAGGCCGGAGTCGATCTTGAACACTTAGCGCGTGATGGTTGATAATAGCGTGATGGCAGCGGCTCGCACTCCTCATGGGTTGCAGAGGCCCCGTCTTGGCTAGCGGCGGTGTGGACCCTGATCGGACCCTTGTGGCTCCGACAATCATGGTGTCGAGTCACGCTTCCGCGCGCTGCGTCAATACAACTGTTTGCAAATGGTATGCGCGCGCGTGTGTGTGTGTGTGTGGTATGCGCGCGCGTGTGTGTGTGTGTGTGTTTGTGCGGGTGTGTGTGTGTGTGTGTGCGCGTACGCGTGTGTGTGTGTGTGTGTGTGTGTATGTGTGTATGTGTGTGTGTGTGTGTTTCACTTTCTATGTATGCATTCGTTGGGCGTGTGACTTTGTTAGGCCGATAGGCTCGTCGCCCGCCAGCGTGCGCCCGAAAAGTGAAAGTGTGTGTGTGTGTGTGTGTGTGCGAGTTTGAGTGTGTGTGTGTGTGCGTGTCGCTCCTGGTTCCTCGCTTTCTATCTTCGCTTTGTTTTGCCCTGCTTGCCCTTGTCTTGCTTGCCCCTTGTCGTACCAATTCGTGTCATGCTAGGCTGGCTGGATTCTGGCCTGCCTTGATGTAGTTTCTTGTTGCTTCAGTTTCTGTTAGCCCAGCGTTAGTCCGCCAGGTCGTGCCTGACAAGCGCTGGTGTGGTTTCCAACCCCAGGTGCGTGCTACGTGCCCAAAGGTGTGTGTGTGTGTGTGTTCGTATGTGTGAGCGTGTCTGCGTTGGAGTTCTTCAACATTTTTTCGAATAGAATTCAGCTTGGGTATCCCACCTGCTGCTGACGCGGTCGTGCTAGACATCGGCGGAAGATGAACAAGCACATGCGCGCGCACATGCGCGCGCGCGTGTGTGTGTGTGTGTGTGAGTGTGTGTGTGTGTGTGTGTGTGTGTGTCCGCGACTTCACCTGAACGGTGCCCGCCCTCGTGCCCCCCCCCGCGCGACGTGCCTTGTGGCTCCCACATGGCCGTCTGTGTTTCGCACGCGCTTCCTCGGCTTGCTGGCCGCTTGCCTCTCCGCCCCTGGCGCTGGGGCTGGTCTTGCCGCCCGCGCCTTCCCCCGCCCCACTACGCCCCTTACAGGAGTGCTTCGCCGTCCCCGTCCTTGGGGTACTGGCGCTTCCTTGGCTGTCCGCGACATGTAACCTTGCCCGCTGACTCGGTCAGCTTCTGCCCCCGCCGCCGCTGGCCCCCAGCACCGCCGCTGCTGCTGGCCCCGCGGCGGTGACGGCCGCGCCACGCGCCTCGGGGAACGACCCGTTCCCCTGAGCCGCCCCGGCCCGCTTCCTCCTCCTCTCCAGCCGCCGCCTCGTTGGCTCCTCCATCCCTCCTGCATGGTGGCACAATTCGCTTCACGACAGCCCCGCTTTGCGTCCTCGCCAGCGCGTTGACTCTGCCGAGCCGCCAACGAAACAAGTATGTTTGTGCGTTTCCCTTCGCCAGCAGCTACAATCTCAGAGGGTCTGCCTGGCTCACATAAGGCTTGGATAGTCCAAGATTTGGGCTTGCATAGCTTTGCGAACGTCGCTTGGCGAGTAGAGTTTTCATGGCTCAGGAAACTGCAGTTCGGGACAGTGCTGCGTTACGCGTCAAGTATCCCCAACGTGCCTGCGCACACACACACACACACACACACACACACGCACACGCACACGCACACGCACACGCACACGCACACGCACACGCACACGCACACGCACACGCACACGCACACGCACACGCACACGCACACGCACACGCACGCGCACGCGCACGCGCACGCGCACGCGCACGCGCACGCGCACGCGCACGCGCACGCGCACGCACACACACACACACACACACACACACACACACACACACACACACACACACACACACACACACACACACACACACACACACACACACACACACACACACACACACACACACACACACACACACACACACACACACACACACACACACACACACACACACACACACACACACACACACACACACACACACACACACACACACACACACACACACACACACACACACACACACACACACACACACACACACACACACACACACACACACACACACACACACACACACACACAACACACACACACACACACACACACACACACACACACACACACACACACACACACACACACACACACACACACACACACACACACACACACACACACACACACACACACACACACACACACACACACACACACACACACACACACACACACACACACACACACACACACACACACACACACACACACACACACACACACACACACACACACACACGGGGGGCAGCATGCGTGTGAGTGGACGTGCTCGCGTGCGCTTGTGTTCTTGCTTCCGCCTGCGAGTATGTACGCGTGTGCCCACGGCGTTCGCATTCATAGTCTTCCTATGTGTTTGCGCGACGTCGCGCGCCGTTCGTGGAATTACACGCCTATGCGCAGCGGCGCTGGGCTTCACGTGGAACTAGCGCAATGGTGTCTTATTTGATACACAATGTTGAATGAAATTAGGTTGCACAGTGTTGGCAAGGTTGCGCGCTGATCAACGGGAGTCTGGCATCGTGATGTTGTTCTTTTCTATTGCGTGTTTGGTTGATGTTCTTTCATGCGCTTATTGAGCATCGTGATGCAGCAGTGGATGGTTCATAACTCGAGTTCGCATTGTCCATTGCAGGTTATGACCGTTGAGCCCGCCGACTAGGCAGTGAGAGTTTCTTCGGTTATGATGTTATGATGCGAGTTGCTGTTTTGCACTCGGGTGTCTTAGAGTCTTATCGCGCGGCCCGCCCGGGCCTAGCTTGTTGTTACAGACAGCCTTGTCAGCCCGCGCTGCTGGCAGGCCTTCGACTCAAAAGAAATGCTGCCTTGCCACTTGGCCATCCTTGCATCATCATTATTCTTTGCAGTTGTTGTGAACAGTGCTGTGCCAATCAGGCTGGCTCCGCATCCGCGGGATCCTCCACCTCCTTCCCATGTTTGAAACTGCGATTGGCCCGTGCAGACATCTTGATTAAGGAGCATGGGCAGAGAATCGAGAGAAGAGGAAAAGGACGGAGAGGATGTGGGCGAGAAGGAGGAGAAGGAGGAGGAGGAGGACAAGGAGCAGGAGGAGGGGAGGCCTGCGCAGGAACCCAGCAGGCGTTCTGCATTGATGTCTCACCGTCGCAAACTGGGCACGAGAGGCAACACACTGAAGACACCAAACAACACTACTGCCAGGACTTTTCGCTGAGCGTGTCGCTCAGCCAATTATGGCCCAGCATGCTTCGGCGCGACACGCTAACCACGTGACAGTCCCAAGGCGTCAACATCCCGAGCCTTCCCAGCCTCCCGCCCCGGAGAGCGGAGCGACACGCTATCAGCACGCAGGGCATAGCGTGTTGCCGGGGCAGCCGCGGCGACACGCTAAGCAACAGCTGTTGACCGTACATCGGCTGTTCCAGCTGTCCTGTGCCAAGCCTCTATACACAGGCCCTAGGCTGCATCGCGAGTAATCGTCGTACCGAGTTGCATCTCTTGAACATGCGTTTGCAGAGCGGCCGCGCAATTGTGACAGCAGCACCATCAACGCCCACTACACTGTTGCGGCTCTGTCTCGTCTTGGCCACCGCGGCCGCCTGGCCAGCGAAGCTTTGCCCGTACGTGCTTTCTATCTCGTCGCTGTTCCCGTCGCAGCCGAACTGAATCCAGCATTGGTCCTCTCCGATCTATTCCCAGCGGGCTGGTATCCTCGGGGATGTCCTCGCCCTCTCGAGTGCAGTATCTGTCTCCTTGCCTGGTCTCTGCCTCGTCGAACTCATGTGGCGAGCAGGGCGAGTGTCGTTCCTTGGAGCTTTCATTCTGGGTACTTTCAGGGTCCTACGCTTGCTTCCCAACGTCTTTGGCAGTGGCCGTTCCCCTTTCCTTGGCGTTGTCAGCCATCTCCTGCGTGGCACCCTCACTGCTGCGCATGTTCTGGCCTGCGGGCCAGAAGTCCTCTCCAAGCGCCTTGGTATTAATGAGCTGCGGTCGGGAACTGTTGGATAGCGTGTCTCGCCGCCATTTCTGGCCCACCATGCTTCGCAGCGACACGCTACCCACGTCCCCACTCCCAAGCGTCAAAGTCCCGAGCTTTCCCGAGCCTCCCGCCCCGCGGAGTGGAGCGACACGCTATCCGCTCGGAAGGCATAGCTCACAGCCGGGGCCGCCGCGGCGATACGCTAAGCAAAAGCTCCCGCCAGTAGGTTCCGCGGAGAATCTGGAACAGCTCACTGCGGCTCTGGTTTTTAGCCTGTCATTCCGCCCTGGCCGCCCGCGAGTCCGCGTCCGAGCCCGACGCGGTCGCGCTTGCCAGGGCCTTCCCCAGAAGGGCGCGGCCCGCTCGAGCCAAGATGGCTTGAGCCTATGGGGGTGCTGGACTGCATCCTGCACTTTTTATGCTTATTTGTTGTGGACACCCCCGCGCCCCAAATTTCACACTGGCGGTCTGCGACGCGATGTGTCGATCGATCGGTCGACTGGCCGATGCCAACCAACATGGAATCGGGGTGAGGGGGGCGCGTTGAAGTTTGCGCCAGCACGCTAGTCGCGTGGGCGGTGCAGAGTGTTGTCCATCAGCGGAGCGTCCACGGAGCGAGGGGGAAGAAGCGGATGACGACGAGGAGGCTGAGGCCAACGCGAAGACCAGGGGGTAAGCGGGAGTGGGGAGGGCGGGGGGGAGGTTTGACACTTTCTGGTGCGTCTGGGGCCTGCTTGGGCTGTCCCGGAGCTCTTTGGGGCGGCCGGCCGTCTCGGCAGCCGTTGGGAACTTTCTCGGGGCCCTCTCAGCCCACCTTGGGGCGTCGTGAGTCTCTCTGGGGGGGAGGGGCCCTCCTGGGGCGTCGCAGTGCCCTTTGGAGCTGCCTCGGGCCGTCTTGGCGGTCTCTTGGACCGTCTCGGGTCCTTCTGGCCTCCCTCTTGGGCCGCCCTGCTGGGGCCATCTGGATGAGTTCTTCGGCCCCTCTTGGGGCCTGTTCGGGCCACTGTTCGGGCGTGTCTTTGGGCCCCTCGCGCGCTCCTCGGGGTCGCTGGAGGCCTCCTGGGTCTTCCTTAGCGGCCTCCTGTGGCCAGGGCTCCTGTCTCCTGTGCGCCACCCGCCTCCCGCCCCCCAAATCCTCGAGCAGCGTCACGGCGGGTCACCACCAGAGGTGTCACCACCTCGTCCCAGAAAGCGAAGGTCGAGGGGAGGGGGGATGGAGGAGCATTTGGACGTTACTGGCTTTTTCTGGGGGGGGGGTCAATGGGGGTTCCGTTTCCTAGAGGAGCTGGCGACCTCCTGGTGGTGACCCTTCTTGGCATTGCCTGCACTCCCTCCCGTCCCAGAGATTGGACATCAGCCGAGTACCAGACCAGCTTGGTGGACACTGCCGCGAGTGCCAGCACGCGCGGAATTGTGCACCAAGCTGGTCTGGTACGCCGGTGGCGTCTTCCAGAGGGAGGCGGCGTCCACGCTGGTACTCAAGAACAGTCAGGTGATTGTCAGGTGACGCGTCCAAGGGCGTGTCAGTGAGCGTGTCCAGGATCGAAACAGTGATCGTGTCAGGAAATGCGTCTAGGGACTATGGACGCGTCTAGGGACTGGGACGTGTCGAGGGACTGCGCACTACGAATGCTTACACATGCTATCCGGGTGATGTAGGTTCTCACTATAGTTTTCTCGATGCTGCTACACTACAGTCTGTGTGTTGGCCTCTTTCTCTCTCTCTCTCTCTCTCTTTTTTCTCAGTTTCAGTATATCCGTATTTGTCCGTGTTGCCCAATTTGTCGAACATGCTTGTTCAACCATGTGTTGCACTCGCGAGCGAAACGTTGTCGAATGTGTAGACTGATGCACTTGTCATCATCTGTTTCCCAGCCTGCGTTTGATGTTGGCGGTTCCGTAACTGAAGCTAACGCCAGTTCGATTCCTAGAACTGTTTTGATCGAGATTGCTCCTTGTGTCATCTTGATGTCACGCTTCCTCTTAATCCTCCCCCTCCTCGTTCTCCCCCCCTCATCATCTCCCATCCAACGCCTCCCCCTCGTCATCTGCCCCCCACTCCTCCAGCTTATTCCCCATCCAACGCTTCCTTCTCTCCCTCGTCGCCCTCCTCCCCGCTCCCGGTCGTCCTCCGCCTCCCCCTCGTCGTCGTCCTCTTCTTCTTGCTTCCCTTGTCTCTCGCGTTGCAGGAGCTGCTGGACCCGATGCTCCGTGACGCGCTGCTGCTGATCATTGTGCTGCTGCGGGCCGCGCGGACAGGCCGGGTGCCGCAGCACATCTTCATTATTTGCCCCTTCGAATGGCGCGCGAAGTCTTGGGCCCAGGTCAGCGGGCCCTTCACGAAGCGCACCGTGATCCCGAGGAATACTGGCTCGGCGGTGAGGGCCCCGCAGACGCGGGTCGCGCACGATGCTGGCGAGCCCTTGGTCTTCGAGTCGGCGCCGCCGTGGTTGATCAAGAGGCTGCTGTGCTGGGCTGCCGGGCGCTGGCAGTGGACGCGCGCGGCGATGGCCCCAGGCTGCGAGCACCTGAAGGCTGGCGGCGGGCTGGGATCTTTCATCGGGCTTGCCTCCACTGGCTGCGCCCAGTCCGTGATGCGGCCGACGAGTCGACGGAAGGCAGCGGGACTCGCTCTGGCGTACGGGTGCCCGTGAGGCCGAGCCTCAAGGATCGGGGGTGCGTCGCTGCGTTGGTCACCAACGGCCAGTGGTCGCAGGCCGCGCCAGGCGGACAGGGGCATGTCCGAGAGCGACATGTGCTTGTCGTGTGGCGTCCGCGGCATTCTGCTTCATCGCCACTGCGACTGCGAGGGCTGGCGGGACACCCCCGTGCTCCTGGAGCGCTTGAGACGCTGCGGGCGAGGTCAGATGCGCGCGAGGTGGAGTTGCTGCTGGAGCGCTGTTCTTGGTCCGCTCCCTCTGGTTTCGAGAGGCCCACGACGGCCTCCTTGCTGTATTGGAAGAGAGAGCACGAAGGCTTTATCCCGTCGGGGCAGGTCTTCCTCGACGGGTCAGCGTTCGAGAATGGAGTTCGATGGTATATGAGAACGCGGATTGGGCCATCGCAGTGTTGCGCGCCGACAGCACGCATTACAAGGTGGACCTCTCAGAACTGCTGTGTGAAAATTGCGTTGACATCAACGGGGGCGAGACCATGGCATGCATGCTGGTCAGGTACGTCGTGCCGGACTCGCACTTCGTACTCGCAGGAATGATAGAGCAGCGCAGGGACATCACGCCGAGGTCCTGCTACACCCGGGCGCAGTTGTGGCGGCCGCTGAGTGTTCTCATCGACGATCTCGGCGGAGTGGGAGAACGTGGGCTTCGAGGGCGCTGCATCAATGCCAACTGCTCGGTGCAGGACGAAGAGCTGAGCAAGCTCTCCCTCCGCCACCATACTGGAACTTGCTTTGCTGCAGAAGTTGTTATGTCGGCGCCCATTTTCGGTCGATTGCCGCTGCAGCAGAAGGCAGAGTTGGTGCGGGCTCGGGTCCTTGTCGACAGCGTGGCGATGTGGTGCAGCACGGCGGGCTCTCACATCAACGGTGGGGACACCACCCACGGCAAGGCCAAACCGCAGCGTGCGGCCAAGCGGGCGGTTTGAAGAGGGTGTGCAGCGTACGCGGCGAGGCTCTGAGGTCGGCGGCGCCAGATGGTGCTCGAAACGCCTCCGAGCGCACAGCTGGGCGTCCTGACCATCCGCGA